TGTAAGTTATCAAATAGGATGGGAAACTAATGTGCTCTGTAAACTTTCACTAAAATGACAAGAAAATATTTGAGAGATAGAAGTAGAAAAGGGGGGGAAAGAGTATCTTCACAAAAGGCCATGACTCTGGTGCTTTGAACTCACCTATGGTTCCACAGCGAAGAAGGACAATCTACTCTCATGCAACTGACAGCCTCAAAACCTCATAGACAGCTAAGTCAGCTGTGACTGCTAGCAATCACAGGTGTTCATAAACTCCTGCCCTCCCCCCAAACAGCAGCCACCTTACCAGAAAATTGAGAAAAGGGTAGTTATGGGGAATTTTTTTCCTATGACACCATTAAAACCAAGAGAAGAGAAAATCAAAACCAATATAAGTTCTACATTTTTTTAAATGGAAAGAGAGGGAACAAATATCTGTGAAAGTAACAAAAAAGGCATGGCAATTAGAACTATTTCTGAATTTACTGATAAAGGATAATTAAGTCCTTTAAAATGTCTCTATTCCTGCACTGCAACCCCAGAGGTGCACGGTTTGAATCCACCAGATGCTCTGCTGGAGAAGGAGGGACAATCTCCTCCTGTACCAGTCAGATCTGACTTGACGGTACACACAAAAAATAATAATTAAGAAAAAAAATTTTTTTAAGTCTCTATTCCCTAGTTTAAATATCCTAATAATTAAATTGGTTTCATAAATGTAGATTTAGATAAAGATCAAACTCAAACAAATCAAATTTAGAGTATGATCAATTTCACACTCACCAACAGTTTTTCTACAGTATCCTATTTTTCAGATGATATGGCAGTATTTTATATTCTTAATCTAATACACACATATATTAATTGGTTTAACTTAAAGTTCCTTCTTAAAATAGATATTTTTTTATTGTATATGTAAACTCAAGTTTCTATAACCAGCCCTTCGAAACTGTTACTCACCAATACTATAGCAACACTTTGGTTAGGCTAAAAACAGCTGAGGGTAAAAAACAAAAACAAAAAAAAAACCCCACACCTCATTTCTACTTTCTAAATGCCATTTAAAAACTGACAGGCATCTAAATATGGCATATAAATTTGCAATATTGGATTACTATTAGTTCAAAAATAAAATATAGTTAAATTGTATTTCAAAATTCTTTTCATACTTCCATCAAATTCTTGCTTCAGAGGCAAATTCGCCTACATCTTATTAAAGCTATCTCAGACATCATTTAATAATCTTATGTAACATATATTTGGAAACAAAGTTACAAACCAAGAACTAGGGAAGGAGAATTACATTATTTCATTCCTCATACTTTACCTAATCATCATAATATTTGCATTGCTCCCTAAAGCAAGGGGGGTAAAGTTTGTCCTATCAATTTACTTAACTAAAGAAAACATCTGAAAACACTTAGAAGAGGATATTTGTCAAGGTACTGTTAAAGCAGGAAAATAGGAAGTGGAACTGCTCTAAGATAGGAACTAGTTGAATAAACTTTAATGTAACCTTTAAAACTATAATAGACCTGTATTTGCTGATCTGGGAAAAATAGCAATTTAAACAGCTAATTTTTTTAAAAAAGTTCTGTGTAATCTCTTTTTGTGATAAATAAACCTGCATGCAGAGAGAGCCTAAATGGATATATATTCAAATAAAAAAGTTTTTAATTTTCTGCTTGCTTTTCAATAATCTCTGAAAATTTCTGAAGCAAAATGCTACTAGCAAAAAGTAATGTTTCTTATTCACATTAATAAATTTAAAAATCATGTGTTTTTAAAAAACAAATCACCTTGAGGCAAAATGTAAAGTATCAGCAAAACAGAAGTAGAATTATTCTAGATCAAGGCACTACTCTGTGGAGGGCTCCAAGACTGTAATGGCACCTTTAATCCAAAGTTTTGAAATCAGAACACTTAGGTTCAAGTTCCTGCCTTTTTTTTTTTTAATGTTCTTGGGCTTGCACTTACCCTTTCAGGGTTCATTTTATCAATTATAAATGAGAAAGATCACATGCCTTATTCAAAGAATTCTTGAAAAAGATCAAATAAGATAATCCATACAAACTGTGAAGTACTATGCAAAGTAAGTAAATAATTTTGTTTTTAAAGGCCGCATTTCATCATAAACTTCTAGTTTTTCAGCTATTCTTACCAGTTCCCACTACAATTATTTTTCCCTCGGTTTTTTTAATGCAAGAGAAAGCACAATTACAATGAACTCAAAAGTCTCAGCAAGAAACCTAGAGCAGCACGCTGATGGGAGTTCAGCAGGAAAAATCCAAGGTTAATCAGCTATAGACTGACCACTAAGCGCTACTGCAGTCAACAAGCAACTATGAATACATTCTACAGATAAATTAAATGCAGGCTGTGAACAAAGATAATGAAAATGTCACTACATTACTCAAAGCCTCACTGCTGGATATTCACTGGGAGCTCTGTATTTTCAGCTTCAAAAATTAATTTTTTAAAAAATTAGTCTCATCACTTTCCCCACCTTGTTACAAATATGGTCCTTATCTCCAAAAACTACAAACAAAAACGAGGAAAATTTCCAAAAGGCATATTCTCCAATGCTTGCGACACAGAAAAATATATACATTCTCAACGAACCCTAGATAGGTGGTCCTGAGACCCTCCCCCACTCCCAAAACTGTAAATCTAACCGCAATCAGGTATTAACAAAAATTTTAGCTGTTTTAACCAGCTAATTTATCACAGTTCTTCAAAGTATCAGGCACTCAACGATAAGACTATTACATGCTCAATGGTTATCCCAAGCTAATAAGTTATAAAACAGGAACATGCAAGTAAAAAACACCTCTTTTGGAACAACACAAGTAAACCTGAGAGCAAAAATGGAGAACAATTTTGGAAAGACTAACATTTCTCCCAAGTGTCAGCGTCTACCTGATAAAGGCTCATTTTTGTAGAGAAACTTTATCTAACAAAACTCACACCAGGGATCCTATCAATCCCTAAAGGCACTTTCTTAAATGAGAAAGAACAAAGGAGGAAATCTCCCAGCATGTGCTTTCCATACTAGTTTCTTTGGACAGCATCAAGACTGACAATATGCCCAGGACATCTTTTCACCCTCACTCTTTGGTCCATGTATAACAGAACTGATTAGCGTGCACTTGAAAGGATTCCTAACAATACAAGTATCAGAAGGCAAAGATCGCTGCGACATACTAACTACATTTGTGGAAAGCAAAACGACCGAAAACAATTTCTTAAAATTGTGTACTTTTACTCTCTTAAAGTAATCTCCCAATATTCAAATTCCTGAGGTTCCAGTCAATATTTTGAAAGTGGGTAGAATTGAAACAATTCTAAATTTGCTCTTCCGGACCTCAGTTTGGAATTAGAAGTAAATTGTAAAAAAATGACCCTCAAACCAACAACGTGCAAATTTTACCATGATTAACACTGCAAAGTTTCTGGTAAAAAACGATCTTTCCAAGTGAGCCCTTTTCTCCAGTGAAAAAGCTCTCCATAAACCAACAGGCACTGGAGTTGTTTAATAAATTCTCGTTTCATTAAAACGGAGAAATTCTTTTTTTCATTTTCTTAAATCTAAAACTGACCCTCGCCTAAAGATTTACAATTGTTTAATCCCAAGCTCCACGCTGACAGAGACGTCAAGCCTCTGGGTCAAGATAGAACCAGCTGCTAGGTTCACATGCAGGAAGCCACAGAGTAGTGAATATATAACATTCAGACCTTCAAAATAATATGCATTAGTTAAAAACTGCTTGCTGCTAACCCAAAATTATTCAAGCGGAGCCCCATTTGTCACAATCCAATCATAAGGGTTCCACCCCCTCCCCCAGCTGCTTGTATGTAGTGGTGTATCTGCTTCGGTAAAGAAGCCATCATCAGGTAAAGACTGGGGTGGGAGCAATGAGCGGGGAAGAGGGGACACCCTTTCATCTCATTTCGAGAGCCAGGAGTAATTGGTATAGTTGGGAGGAACGGAGCAGCGTTCTATTTATTGGGGGTTGGAGGAGGAGGAGGGCAGAATTTCGTTCACATCAACATGGCCAGCAAGATGTCCCTACAAACAAAAGGCAACGGGGGGATATAAACACGAACCATTCACCTCCATCAGCTAGAGCATCGCCATCATGGTGTGTGCAGAGACCCCCAAAGGCTCATCTCCCCCCTCCAAGCCGGGAGAAGGCAAAGGAGGGAGCGAGGTGGCTGCATCCCACCACCCACCACCACCGCTGCCAAACATACTCCCTCCGAGGGGGTTTCTTCCCCAGGCTGCCCAGAATCAAGAGAGAAAAAGAGTAACGTCCCGCCGAGGCAGATTCTCCACGCTGCCCCAGCAGCCCAATCCCAACGTCAGTCTGGAGCGCAGGAAACTTTACGGGAGCTTCTCCCCCACATGCCTCCCCGACACCCCGCGACCGCGCTTCCCACAAGCGGGGCGCCCTGGGCGCCTCCTGACAGGCGGGCAGCCGCGGAGAGCCGAGTCCAGGGCGGGGGCGGCAGAGCGCCGCGGAGGGGCGGGGCGGCCGGAGCCAAGTTCCCGGGGGTCTGAGAGGAGCGCCTGACAGGAGCCCGGGAGTGCAAAGGAGGAAGAGGAAGCGGCGGCGGGGAGCTTTCCCAATCCCCCCTACACGAACACCCAGGCCCGGGCCACAGCGCCCCATAGGGGGGCGGGGAAACTGACTGGAGGTGAGAAAGCAGAGCCCCAGAGACAGCCACGGTCCCTACCTTCCGACTCCCTTATCTCTTCCCCCGCCACCCCCGCCAGAGGCGCCCACAACAATAACACGCCGGGGACGACCCGTCAGCGCCCCCGAGGCACCCCGGGCCCGCGGCCCGTTGCTACCGAGCCCCCTCTGCTGGGGCCCGGCGCGCCGCTCTTCCCTGGAACTCCAGGCTGGGATGGAGTCAAGCCCGAGCGGCCCCCCAGGGTCGGACCCATCCCCCCCGGCACCAGCAGCGCCGTCTCCGCGGCCGAATATTAGAAGTGAATTCGAGCTGCGCTTTACCTTTAGTTCCGCACTGTCCGCCATCTTGCGTCTGTCAGCGCAAGCGCAGTCGACCTCGCCGGGGGCCGCTTTTAGACCCGCCCCTCCAGGCGGCCTAGCCCCGCCCCGGCCCACCCCCTCTCGCCCCTCCACCCTCCGGACCCGCCTCCCGACTCCGCCCCGCTCTGTGCTCTCGGAGCCCCGCCCCTGGCACGTACAGCGGCGAGAGGGGCACGTACCATTTAAATAATGGCGCCAAGCGGAGAAGTTTGACAGTTATTCTCCCTCTGTCTCCCCATCCCCCTATATTCGCCCGGTTAGCGCCTTTGGTGAAAGGCCGGACAAGCGGGATACTGGCCTGAGCACCGCCCCTCTGCGGTCAGCGGAACACTCTTGCAAAGCTTCCATCCTTACAGCCTTGAAACACTTAACTGTTCTCCCTCACTTCACCACAGCCAGCAATTCTTTTTGCGCACCTGCTACCTGCCTGGCTCCGTGAGAAAAAAAACAACAAACAAAAACCACAACAAAACCAACAGTAATTTGTTACATCTGAGAAACACTTGACAATAAGGTAAAACTGACAAGGAGATCATCATCATGGTATATATATTACGAAATGAAAGTTCAAAAAGGAACAGAGGTGGCCTAAAACACAGTTCTGAAGACTCCATTACCTTGTTTCAACAAGTATTTGTGCTAAATGTTGTATATATACTTTGGGAAGTTAAATACAACTAAATCCTTGCTCTCCTCTAGCTCTCTAGCTAAAGGAAGAACAGGCAATTGAACCAATAAAGATAAAATTACAAATCTTGATGAGCGGTGGATGGGAGCAAACGCCTCATTGAGAGAGAACAAGAGCTTGAGAGTTGTAGTTAATACTGGTAGAATTTTTTTGTGACATACAAATAGAGACTTAAGGGGTGGTTTGAGAGTATTTTAAATTTTTTCTAATCTGTATTTCTTCTCTAACCCCTACTTTTAGTTGATCAAATTCATCTCTTTTATTACAAGGGAAAATAGTAGATAGAGCTCCTTTATCTTTCACCATCAAAACTACTCTTATCTGAATGTTGTTAGGTGCCTTCCAGTGGACTATGACTCACAGCAACAGATCTAACTGAACTTAGCCCTATACTATCTTCACTCTCTCCACCATACTGCAGCCTATGAGAGGCACATGTCAATCCATGTCCTTGACTGTCATCATCCTCTTTTCTGACCTATCTTCCTTTTCGAGCATAATGTCTTTTTAAAGGACTTGTTCCTCTTGACAAAGTGACTCAGTGTGATATCTCTGGTGTCTTATTGGTAAGGAATTGTGCTGCCAACACAAATGTTAACTGTTGGAATCCACCAGTTGCTTTGTGAGAGAAAGATAAGTTTCCTCCAGGTTGATTTACTTCTTCTGAAAATCCACTGGGGGAATCAACTAAGGGTCAGTCCCAAATTAATAGTACACCATTCTTGACTCGAAGGAACACACTGGTTGTGCTTCCACCAAGACAAATTTATTTGTTCTTTTAGCAGTTCACATAGTGTTTAATATGCTTTGGCAAGACCACAATTCAAAGGCATCAATTATTCTCTCTTCCTTGTTCATTGTCCAACTTCCCCATATATGAGAAGAAAATGAAAACAGCACGGCTTGGATCAAGTGCACCTTAGTCTGTAAACTGATATTTTTGCTCTTCACCACTTTAAAGAGGTCCTTGACAACAGATTTTTCCCAGTGCAACACAACTCTTGATTTCTTGGCTGCTGGTAACATGGGGATTGGTTGTGAGTTCAACTAAAATAATTTTTGACAACTTCAATCTTTTCTCCATTTATCATGATATTGTCTATTGGTCCAGTAATGAGGATCTTTGTTTTCCTGATGTTGAGATACAACCCATATTGAAGACTGTAGTTTTGGATCTTCTGCAGCAAGTGTTTGAAAAGGTTATGTTATTTGTATAACACAGGTTGTTGATGAGTCTCCAATCCTGATACCAAATTTTTCTTCCTAAAGTTCACTTTCTCAAATTATTTGCTCAGCATACAGATTGAACAGATGTGCTTATCAGCATTGTTGTTATGTGCCTAAGAGTTGGACCCTCCACAGGCTTCCAGAGGCTGTAAATCACACAAAAGAAGATTGTCCATCTTCCTCCTTCAGAACATCTGCTGGATTTGAACCACATGTTTTTGGGTTGGCAGTAAAACTCTTTACCACTAGGCCAGCAAAGTTCCATAGTAATTATGTTTATATGCATGTTGTTGTATATAAAAAAAAATCACATTTTAATTTTAAAATCATCTGCAGAATAGGTTTGAGGCCTTGAACACTAATAAAAGAAGACCAGATGAGTTATGGGATGGCATCAAAGACATAATCCATAAAAAAAGCAAAAAGTTCTTCCAAAGACAGAGAAGAAAAAAAAGACCAAAATGAACGACAGAAGAGACTCTGAAAATTGCACCAGAGTGTCAAGAAGCCAAAACAAGTGGGAGAAAAGTAGAAGTAAAAGAGGTGGGCAGAACAGAAAATTTCAAAAGGCAGCTCAAAAAGATAAAATATTTTCATGAAATGTGCAAAGAAATGAGGTTGAAGTTTATCTGCATAATAATATGTAAATCATTAAGGGGTGTCCCTGAACCTATGAAAGCCAATCCCTAGCCAGTACCTGGATTCCTCTCCCTCTCAATTCCTAAAGATTTTACTTTTTGCAATTACCTCCCTCTTTTGCATCATAAGGGAGCTCTGGTGGCTTAGTGGTAAGGAATTGTGCTGCCAGCTCAAAAACATGCAGTTCAAATCCACCAGCTGCTTTAAGGGAGAAAGATAGGTGGTCTCCTCCCTTTCAGTTAGCTGCCTCTGAAAAGCAGGAGGGACAGCTATCAGTTGGCCCCAGCCCCATGTTGTGTAACAGCAACCTCTATATCATTAGAAACATTGGTGACTTGATAGTTAAAACACTTGTCTGCTATTCAAAATGTTTGCTGTTGGAATTCATCAGTCACCCTGCAAAGATTTACACATTCCAGGACAACTCTACTCTGTGCTATAGGGTCATTATGAGTCAGAATCAACCAGACAGCAGAACCTTTACTCTAGAGACCTTTTTCTAGAGCTCTCTCTATTGTACCTGTTTCCAGTTCTTCACAGTTTCCCCCCATTCTACTAAGGTCTTCCTTTACCATTCCTCATCAGGATCATTTATCAAGATTACTGATTATCTCCTCATTCCTTAAAGCCATAATAAATTTTCCATTCTTATCTAAATTAACCTCTAACAGAATTGCAAACAGTTGACTCACTTCCTTTTTCTTGAAACACTTTTTCCACCCCCCTGGGCTTCCGTCAACATCCCCCTCAGGGTTCCCAACAGCTTCCTTCTGTTTCAGCCCCCCTGCTGATAATTTGCATTTTCACCCCAAACCAAACCTACTGTCTCCAGTAGATTCCAAATCTTGGTGATCTTCCATCAGTTTTCCAACATTGCAGATCTGCTGGATTTGAACTGGATTTATTTGAACTGGTGGATTTATTTTGGTTAATAAGCCTGCAAATTAAGGATTAAGCACTGATAGCAGAATCTATGTTTTTTTCATCCTCAAAATCCCTATCTTTAACAATATCCCCAAGTGATTGTTATGTACACGTTCTTATATACTCTTTCGCATCTTGTTAAATCGTAGATGCTAGTTCAGTGCATCTGGATTGGATATGAAAATTCTCAGCAAAGGATCCAAGCAGAATGAACCACCACCAATCCTTGATCAGAGTATTCCAAATTTCCTGCCCTCTCAATAGTCCTCTGCAGTACCTTTTTCTGACATCACCACTAACACTCAACCTTTAAGTATTTGAGTCCTTCCCTAGCCATCATTTCTAGTATTTTCTCCATATGGGGATCTTAAAATTGCAAGATATTTAAGATTACTTGAGCAAAATAAGGAGTTACAGCATGGTTTAAGATCAGGAAAGCTAGACATCAAGGTTGTATTCTTTCACTATAACTATTGAGATTTAAGATTGACTTTAAACCTATATGCTGCTAACTTCCAAATTTCCTGCTAGTCCAGTTCCCTTCACTAAAGCCCAAATTCACAGACCCAACTGATTATTGCTTCTATGTATAGATTTCACACGTGGGGGAAAAAGGGTGAAAGATTTATACTATCTGAAGAGAAGAAACCAGAGCATAGGTTTCACAAGTGAAAGGCATTTTCCTATGTAAATCATGATAATATATAGATAACACAGAGAAGAACAGGAAATCAAGAAAATTTAATTGTGGTCATGAGATACTTACACTATGGAATACCACTCAGAAATTTAAAAAAAGAGCAAAATATTGATACATGTGCAGAGAAAGATGAGTAATTTCCTCCCATGTGATTTACTGTCTCTGAAAACCCCTTGGAGGGTCAGCTGTGGGTTGGTTCTTACACAACAACTACAACAACAGCATTGATACATGAAAGTTGGGCAAACAAGAAAATTAAGTTGAGAGAAAAAGGATATATGATGTGTGATTTCAACATTGGTAAAACAAGATAATAATAGAGATGGGGAATAGTGGTGGGAATGGAATGGTTGTGCCTATAAAAGAAAAACAAGAGGAAACCTTGTGATGCTAGTACAGAGTAATATCTTGATCATTTGGGTAGTTACACAAGACTACATATGTGATGAAATTACCAAGAGCTATGCAAAGCAAAGCATTATGATGACACGTTCAAAAAAAAAGGGAAGAAGGGTTCCAGCTGAGAAAACTGAAGAACAAATTAAAGCCTCACATTGCAATGCTGAAGTATTTTATGAACAAATATTGAATAATACAGGAAGTATCAAAAGAAGATGGAAGGGATATACATAGTCAATATACAAAAATGAACTGGTTGACACAGAAGCATCATAGAAATTAGTATGACCAAGAACCAAACTACACAGGAAAAAAATGACAAAAAAAAAAAGACTCTAGGAATTAACAGAATATCAACTGACATGTCTCAACAGGAGCAACCCTAGACGTACTCAGTTTTCTGTGCCAAGAAATTTGGAAGATAGCTACCTGCCAACCAGCTGAAAGGGTTTCATATTTGTGACTATTTTTTTAAAAAGAGTGATACAAAAGAATG